GCTCGAAAAGTATAGCTCTGCTCTTTTAGCGTGTGCCCATATTTTATACTTCTCTATGTTAATTTGCCCTTTGTTTCGCTTCATTTCTTGCTTCCCAGCTCTTTGTAATGTACAACGATCCTGCTACTAGCCTGCAACCTCGAGCGATTCGTTGAAGGATGCATGTTGGCTGCACAAACTCTTGCTTAGCAGGAGCAAGTGCTAAAGATAAAGCTATGAGCTCGGGATTCTCGCCTTCAAAACAATATCACAACTAAAAGACTGGTATTTGTTCAGAGTGTTATAATACCAATTATGAGGAATCGAAAACTGTCAAATTAAATTATTGTTTTTTAAAGACATGTTCGCTCTCTTATCCTATTAAAAATGCCAGCACGTTGGCGGTGCAGTGTATTTTTAATATCTGTTATCACATCGGGGCAGAACCCAAAGTAGTCAAAAAAACTAATCAGATTTAAAGATTTTGTCGGAAAAACTGTGATTTTACGAAAAGCATGGGACACGAGGTCTCTTCTCAATACAATCTTCTAACCCCCCCCCCGTCTTATATTGGCCCTCGGCCTTTCCGGTGTGGGCTATCTGGCCCCCACACTCAGATGAGTTTGAGACCACTGCCTTAAAAGAAGTGCAGGCTGATAAAACTAAATATCCTGTACCATCAGAACTAGTGTGACATACTTAATTGTATTTTTTTATCTGACGAGCAGATAAACTTTATTTAAAAAATGTATTTTTGTGTTCACTTTGTTGAATTTTATATATCCTGTCTTAAAAAGGCGACAGGCGCTGTGTTCCAATAATAGATATGGGCTTTATATAGCGATGCAGCATTATTTCATTTTCAAGTAATATTCCAACATATGCCGGACCCTGCTCCAAAAGGGCCACTACCTGCTCCAAAACAACATTTTGCCTGCTACAAGGCCTGCTCCAAAATGTCAAATGGCACTTCCATCACTGTATTAGGAATTTAAGCACTCTAAAGTAATTAATGAACTAACTATGCCGAACGTTGTCAGTTTTCCCAAATGGACCCTTTGGCTTCCACCAGTACGGCGTTTCCTTTTTTCTGCGTGACGCATACTTTTTGCAGGAATAATTTGGTCCGCTTTTTTAAGAAACTCCCTATAAATAGTTACCTTTAAGCTAATAACGTGCTGGGTGAAAAAGAGGATAAAGCCCTCATATAAATAAAAACTAGATCAAAGTGTGGTGCGGGAGAGGCGCCGATAAAATATTAGTTTCACCTTACCTTGTTTTCGAAAAATTCATTGGTAATTTTCTTTTGGGGGTTGTAACCTCTAGAAGCAAGGAAGCCATGCCGTCATGTGCATATGCAAACTGCCAAATGCCATCAAAGCGTGGCATTTTCGCATGTAGGCGCCTGCGACACCCTTGTTTTCGTCCGAAGTATCGGCACGTCAGCATCAGAGTTCTTTTTTTATGACTTCATTGAGTGATGTTGCAGACAGTGATCTTCTGGTTGCCATTTGACGTAGCAATAAGTCCACATAAGCGCGGCATGCCATTATTCAAGAGCACGTAAACTTCTGCGGAGCGGATAGGAATCGTAAGCAGAGAATACTCTGAGACTCTACACCTTTTTCACTTTTCTGAAAGCGTGGCACGAGCGCAACCGCACAGATCGAGGGACCGCAGCACTAGAGCGGATTGTTAAAAGAATGAAATGAAAATGAGAGAGGAGCGCAAGAGCAGAGCGGATTTGTGTCGGGGGAAAGGAGGCAAAGGGCAAAAACGACGAAAAACCAACAGCAACACTGCCAGCAAGGGAAATGGAGCAAAGAACAGCCTCCCGGAGGACAGAGGGAGGAAAAATATACGTCTGCCGGCACAGGGTGCAGTTTCGTGTTCGTGTTTTGTCTGTTTTTACCAGCGATTTGATGCGCCAGGATCGTCGTATGATGCGGGATACGTGCATTCCTACATCATGAAATGCTAACTTTTCATACATAGTTTCTATGGGCAGTTTGCATGGCCCACATCAAATAGTCATAAAATATGGGACGTCGCATTAACGGGATTCCACCGTATTAAGCAAATTAGTCGAGTCACTGCAATTTTTTCAGGCCACACGCAACTTCCTATGAGTTGCGCAGTTTCCACCTCACAGATTGTGGTCAAACCACCAGAAGATCCATTCAATGGGCATCTTTGTGCAACAAATGTGATGTCTGCTCTTTTTTATTTATAAAATATGGCACACACAACACATATATTCCCGTGGGAGTTCTGCGGAACTTGTATTCGGGTACCTAACGTTGGGCAAAACGTATCAACCAAGAATGTATCAACAATATTTACTTTACCTTTTAACCCTTTGATGGTCGTCACTGTACATGTGTGGCAGTGATTACATATTTGAAAGTGCCCGCCTACTTGCAAAACTGCGCGCACCGCGGGAGATGTTGCTATTTGTTATGTCTTTGGCGAACTATAAACATTGTATTTGCACGCTGTATTGCTTGGCTGGGCTATTTATAGATTTCAGATGCTGCACACCTGTGAGGCTCACTTCGCTTACTGGCCGCTCTGGCTGTAGTGCCGATGGGAGCACTGGCTCTTCCAATTCACACTTCCAACGCTTTTCGGATATAAATTTAGAGGATGAGAGCTCATCATTTGGCGGAGATGATCTGTAGTATCTCCGGTTAGTAATCTGAAGCCGCCGGAATGTCGCGGAAGTGGATGCACCAAAATGAAATGGAATGGAAGAAAGGTGACAACTTTTCGCCTTCATTATTTTTATTTTATGCTCCTAAATCTAAACAGCTTCCAAGCACTGTACCATCTCCCGCCAGATAATTAAGAAAAAACCTGCGCGTTGACCCTTTCTACATACTGCAGTTGAGCCTGGATATATTGAATTCAAAAGGGATCGTAAAACAGTTTGATATATCGCTAATTTAATACAGTTAAACCTCGATGTAACAAAGTCGGTAAAATTCGCAATTTACTTCGTTACATTGAAATTTCGCTAAATCGAAATTTGGCTTTAGCATGCAAAAAAACAAATTCCGAAACATTTTACGGGTATGAAAACTCACCGAAAATGACATTTATTTAGGGGCAAAGTAGTCCGCGAGTTTTGCTTGCGCCTTGTCCGACAGTAGCAGCGGCGTCATACTGGTCATACGGCGTTCGAGCGCCCAGAGCGCTTGCACGGCATCTTGCTGCCCATGCGACGCCGTGTACCCCCTCAGTACGTCCATTGCGTCGAGCACTTCCCAAGTGCTCATGATCTCGGCACTTTCTTCAGGATGGCGTCCAAAACGTTTGCTTTCTCATCCAAAGAAAGAACTTTACGTTTCCCTATGGCAGCAAGCACGTGAGTGAACCGCCCAGTTCAAAAATAAAGCTGTTTAGTTTAGGCGGTGCCAATGTTTCCAACCTACACAGCACTCTTGCCCGCACAGTTTACTTGCCCCCTTGCGCCCACAGGCCCACAGTGTGCTTGCGCCTTTGCTTTGCATCACACTCGCAAGACGATAATCCAGCGATAATCGGTCTTCTCGGTCTTCTCCTAGATGGCACTGCCCGTGCGGTCGCGCCATCACGTCGCTCCCCCGCTGAAGTTGGCTCCCGCGCTACCCGCGGTACAGTGGACTATGATGATCAGTGAATGTCAGTGGTGATGCTGTTATGCCGTGTTAACTTTTTGCTCGGCATTTTCTGTCCAGCCTCGCGGAATCCGCTTTGCCGCATGCCTCGCCGGCGCTACCGGCGCCGCACCCTCGGGCAGCCTAGGGACGTTGGAAGGCCTGTCCCCGTGAAGTAACCTATCAAGCGCTCGCGTTTGCGCATAATTTTTTTTTTAACCACAATTTTTTTGCGAAGTTGTTTTTTAGAGTCTATTTATTTATTGCCTTCTATGGCAATGGCGCTTCGTTATATCGAAATAGCAGCGAAATAGACTTCGTTATATAGAGACTAAAAATACATGGGGTCTATGGGCAAAAAATTATGAAAAATAAAATACTTCGTTAAATCGAGGATTTCGTTACATTGAAGTTCGTTATATCGAGGTTCGACTGTACACACAAATATGTTAACTTAAGCTCCAGTTGAAATTTCTATGCGTCTCTGCTAATACCGAATACCGTGACAACAGGACCTAAGAGCCGCTAAATACAGTAGAGCGTAGTTAGTGAAGATTGCACGCGGCAGTGTTTGCGATTGTTTACGGGCGCGCCTGGCCACAACCTCCACACAGCATTGGCAACAAAACACAAAAAATAATTTTAAAAAATGGAAGAATGGGGAAAAGTGAGCCGCATAAAAAAAACTCGATCCATAGAATAAAGTTAAACAAGCAACAAAAAAGAAAGCTCACTAAATTCAGGCAGCAAAAAAAAGAAAGGCAGAAAAGAAAAAAAGGACAAAGCACTAATGGCAAAAGAAGGTAAACAAAGATAAGGCAGTCAAGGTGTGATTGCTCACTGTTGTCAACACACTCAACTTGAGGAAGACCTTTTTTCTTTGTTTTGCTTATTTTACTTTTGGGTTAAGAAGTCGCGCAACGACAGCAGTGTTGGGGAAAAGAGCGCACGCTACCGTTCCAACAGTGGGCACTGCCTGCCCTCCCATCGCACTCGCGTTCCCTTCCCTTTACTTTTGCCATCCTTCATGTTTATTTATTTATTTTCTTGCATTTTTTTTTTTTAGAACACTTTTGCTGCATATTTTTGTGCGTGCAGGCTGGCTTGGCGTCCTGCCAGCCCCGCAACGTGAGCTATGTGTGAGCTATGTGCTCCCCGCCAACGCAGTCTGACCGCAGGAGAGGCGATGGGCGGTAGGGATGTTTGAACTGTTCAATATAAACAACAATTTGAAATACCCGGGTGTGATATAACTGGGCTCGACTGTAATACTTTGGAAAGAAAACCCGACTACTGGGAAACTTCTTTTTGGGAAAATAGCTCGACCATCAAAGGGTTAAAGGGGTGATGGCTCTTAATTGAGCTGCCTGAATTGGTTGGCAGGGCCATCCGACCGCTGCCACTGATGCGGGCCTTCGCGGTGCACTACACGAATCCCCGGTACCAGGGCTTCATGCGGCGCCTGGGAATCGCCATCATGAAGTGCACCCGCAATCCCATCAAGCCCAACATGGAGGATGCCATCATGTCACTCCAGACCATGATCTTCTCGGACTACGACCAGGTAACATCTTGTGAACTCGGCTTGGCTAAACACGATTTCGTAACAGACGAGCCCAGAATCGATGAATGTTCCCAAAAGTGCTCGTTTCGTTACGTCTGTGCATGGCAGACAGCTTACAAATTGGTTGCTCACATTTGTATGCACGCAATCTGTGACAGTCGCGAATATTGAGAAAGGACATCTAACTTTTTGCTAATGTTGAACTCCGCTCAGTAACGCTGAACTGTGTTCAACATTGTTGAATTGTTTGCGGCAATGCTGGGACAATGTCGAGCACAACACTAAATTACCTTGTTACAGTCACCGACCAATTTTTCAGACGCCAATAATTCAAACTTGTTCGATATTCCAAGCATTGACGGGGAATTGCGACTTACCCAATTGAAATAGTACATATTAACAACCAGTTTTTCAAACAGTTTACAGCCCAAAAGTTAAATTTTTTTAACTAAAATACAAGTGGCGACCGCCAATAGGATGCCATCTTGGATCTTTTGCTGGCTTAATCGTGGGCTTGATCATGGCTTGATCAGGGCTTGATCAGGTGGGTTTGGATAGGTTTGGCAGAGCGCTATTTGCATACTAAATGCATGCCATAGGACACCTAGCGGCAACCAGCCGCTATGTGTCCTATGGTATGCATTTTATCTTTTGGCTTGGCATCATCATCATCTTGGTTTTTTTGTTTGGTCGATTTTCCATCTCCAACCAAAGCCAGTCGCCATTTGTGAAGTGTGGAGTATGTCTTCGTATATCCACGCCTACCTACGACTCGCGGTTTTCGACCTCGTGGCCCCCTCTCTTGCACCTCCGCCAGGTGCCCCAAAGAAGCGACGCAAGTACACTACAATGACGCTGGAAAAAGAAAGCAGCAATTTTAAAGCTCCTAGATAATGGACGGACGCAATCCGACGTAGCGAAAGAGTTTCAGCTGCCCAAGCAGATGTTATCCGACTGCATGAAAAACAAGGAAAAGATTTTCTCGGCACTTGACAGCTCGCACAATAAGTACCAAAAGAACGACCGAAAAGGTGAACATCTGGCCCTGAAGGAAGCTCAGCAACTTTGGCTCAAAGAAGTTATTTCCAAGAGTCTTCCAGTGTCAGGTGACACCCTCAAACAGAAAGCAGAGATTCTTACTCTGAAAATGAACTTTGAGAACTTCAAGTTCACTGATGGATGGTTGCGTGGCTTTAAGAAGCGACATTGAATTTTGTTCTAGAAAGTGTGCGGGGAGAGTGGAGTCGTTGACCAGATCACTGTCGTGGACTATCGCTCAAACAAACTAAAGGCATTACTGCAAGAGTTTGTCCTCGAAGATGTTTTCAGTTGTGATGAGACCAGCCTTTTTTTTTTCAAAATGCTACCGGACTGGATGCTGTGTTTTGACGGTGACTCTTGCACAGGAGGAAAACACAGCAAGGAAAGAATCACCGTCATGGTCGGGGCGAAGGCGGTGGGCACCGAGAAGTTGCTGCTCCTCATCAGGAAGGCAAAAACCCCAGGTGTTTTAAAGGGATGCAAAGACTTTCTGTCAGCGACAGGAAAGTCCTACTTGACGTTATCGGCTCAACAAAAGATTCGAGGAGTTTCAAAGATCTGGAGCAGCTTGTCGTGTGGTGTTCCAGCAACATCAAGGAATGGATTACGCACTGCTTGTTTGAAGACTATTTGCACCGTCTGGACCGGGTGTTCGATCGCCAAAAGCAACATGTAGTTATGTTTGTTGATAACTGTCGAGCCCAGGCACTGTGGATAACCTCAAAGCCATCCGACTTGAATTTTTGCCCCCTAACGCTACGGGCGTGCTCCAGCCAATGGACCAGCGTTCAGCATACACGCCACCAGACAAGACGACAGTCGCCCGGCCAATCGAGAACCCGGCCGTCTTCCCCAGAACCCTTACACAGCGCTTCGGAACTTAACTATGGTGCTTGAAGTAAGACCACATCTTTTGGTCTTCTCTCTTATTTTTAAAATAAATTTATGTAGTCTAAAATTGACGAAATGCCTTTGTTCCTTCGTGGCATATCTTTTGAGATTTCCTTCAGGACAACTACAATTGGTGTCCTGGAACATTCATTTATTTAACCTTCTCCTCCGCACCGAGTACCATGCCGAACAACAGGAACAATGCCCATTTTTTTTGTACAACAGGAACAGCAGCAGCAACAGCCCTCCATCGCATCCGTGGCTCTGAAACTGCCACCATTTTGGCCCGCTGACCCAGCTCTCTGGTTCGCCTAAGTGCAGGCCGAACTCAACACTCGTCGAATCCCGGCACAGGTGACAAAATTTAACCACATCATCGCCACCGGAATCAGCCGAAGTTCGGAACATCATCTTGGTATCTCCTGAAGGTGACCTATTCGACAAGCTCAAATCCGAGCTCATCTGACGCACTTCTGCGTCGGAACAAAAGCACCTCCACCAACTTCCGACAGCCGAGTACCTGGGAGACAAAATACCATCCCAAGGAGCCGCATGATGCAGCTCCTCAGTAAGAAAGCATCAAACATGGATGATGCTCTCCTCTATCAACTCTTCCTCCAGAGATTTTCCGCCAATGTGTGCATGGTTCTGGCGGACACTGGCGACATCCCACTCCATGGCTCTCGTCGACAAGGTGCTTGAGGTTGCGTCTCCAACAATTGCCAACATTGAGACTTCGGCCCAAATACATTGTGTGACCATGAGTGCACCATCTGCATCACCCGCAAGTGCCGATTTCTGCACACTTCAGTCGGAGATACGGAGCTTGCGACTGGCCGTGGCTGCGCTCCACATCGAACGGAGCAGATCTCCATGCATTTATTACCGGGCCTGCAGCCAATCTTACTCCAGGTCAGCTCCAAAACCTCGTTATAACAAAGTTGAAGGAGCAGTCATAATCATTTCGTTATAACCATTAGTTTGTTATAGCCAGTGTACATTTCTTCCCACTATTAGCAAGCAAGGGGAATTATGATTGCTTTGTTATATCCATTAGTTTGTTATATCCCATTTTGTTATAACAAGGTTTTACTGTAGTACCATCTGCTGGTACCATCAGACCTTTGGCAACCAAGCACACAAGTGTAAGCCACCCTGCTCAGCGGCGACGGGAAACACGATGCCCCAGCACTGAGTTTGGCTAGCAGTGCAAGCAACACGGGGTGCCGGCTCTTCTTTTTCAGGGACAAAGCTACGGTTTTGCAGCTGTTGGTTGACACTGCCGACGTCAGCAGTACAGTACATTGCAGTACATTACGAAACTTGCATACTTTCAAGCCTAAGTTGCTTTAAATTCGTACAAAGTTGCTGATCTGCAGACTCCACGGGTCTGCTAGCCTCGGCAGCTGCCGTACTTCCAATGTCGTCTTTCTCATTCCCGTTTTTTTCTGTTACACATTCAGCCCACTTTTCCCCAAACACAGCTTTATGCTTTACTGTACAACAACCTTTACTTGTTTCTCTTCACACGTGTTTCCATCTCACTCATGGCCGCCCTGAGAAGGCAAGTGCTTACGAAGAATCGAAGTGGCGTAATTGGAACATGCAATCATAACAAACTCTTGAACTTGCGTTCCTAATGTAAATTCACAGGTCGATCAATTGCATCATGGGTGCATGAATCGTTTCTTAAAACTACTCAAAATCTCTCTACAAGCGAGTGGTACTCAACCACAAGTAGACTTGGCTCACAAGCTTGGAGATTTCGCAGCAGACGACCCCTGACTAGCAGACGACAGCTGACTCCCCCGTCCCGCACGTCTGGTGTAGCAATACATACACTCCTGAGGAGTGAAGTGGTTAGGGTTGTGCAGATAATCAAATAGTAGTTTCAAATAATACGCTATTCGATATTTGCTTCGAGACAAACTCCGATATTAATGAATTTTTAAGTGTCAATCGCGGTGGGTTAGCCTTGTTGAGTGCGCTTCTCACCGAGCCCCTGTATTCAGCGGGGAAGTAATGCCCACAAAGCTCACGTGCTGTGCAGATATTGTTTTCCTGCAGCGCATCAGAGCTCGGCGAGAAGCACACTCAACGGGGCTGACCCGCCGCAATTCGCAAGAGCATGTGTTAGGCAGCGATGTCTTAAAGGGATTGTCCGGTCGAAACCGGAAGTACTTAAGTTCTTGCACTCGTTACGTCGAGGGAGCCTTCATATAGACAAACGTCATTTTTATTTTGATATATGATCTCCAGTTATTAATTAAACCTTTCATGATCCTATGTACGAAACTGCACCCCGAATTTCGCCAGTGTCAATGGCTGACATCCGTAGGTGCTGCGTGACGTCACAAAACGCAAAGGTTTCTCGGATGGTCGGGATAACAAGCGTTGGTCGATGGATGTCTTGTATTTTGTTTAGAATTATATAGTCTCCCAGGCAGTACCCTACTGAAATACGGTTCTCTTAATGCAGTTCCCAAGCACGTGCAAAAAAAGTTACGCCTTTTAGCAGGATGTTACTCGCAGAGAGCCATAAACTTCGAGCAAACGTATGCCATTTCGCGCAAACACAAGTGCGACAGACGCCGATCGAACCAGGGGCGCGCTTGCAAAGCAAAGGATGCAGATTTCGCCTCTGAAGCGGCACTTAGGTACACGAAGCGGCATCTGGGTACACATTTCGGCGGATCCACTGGATCGGTGATGAGGCTGCGGGTCATTCCCTCAGAGGCGACGTCCGCGGGTCGAAGGCAAACGGCGAACCGTTCAAATGCATGTCGGACTCGTCACTTGACTTGGACGAGCTTGGTGAATCGTAGCTACGCTCCATTTTCACACGCGGGTCAAACAGATATCGGGCTGCACGCGTGCTAAATACAACTTCTGGTATCATTTTGAGATGGCCAAGCTGTTGGTTTTGGTTTCGCTGCATAATCAAGGTCTGTTCGATTTGGCCAGGAAGTTCTGAACTATAGTCGGTTACAAGTCAAGGAGGTAGCAGCAAATGCCCCTCAAAGGGAATCTTTGCATTTCGATGATAGGTTCGCGGCATCAGGATGATTTTGCGTAGGGAGTCACTGGTGGCAGCGTGCGGTCGGTGTACCGGTCCCCTCGAAGACGAAGGCCTGACGATAGCGTACGTCTTGGCCAAGACAATTATCGACCGTAACTTTGGCGTCAAGTTGAAGCGAGAATCGGCAAAAAAATGCCGATTCTCGGTGTTTTTCCCAGGCCCGTTAGTGGGCGTCCATAGATACCAGCGGACAAAGCATGCAGTATTATGCTCAGCTACGGGGACATGCGAGTGCCAACGCACTAAATCCCAGACCTATGCAATGTATCGGAGTCGTCAATATGCATCCAAGAGCAACTGAAGGCGGAGACTATCAAGAGGGCAATACCTTTCCCGTGTCTGTAAGTAAGAATATCAACACTGTGGATCCCCACATAGCATCAAAAAGAAACAATTTACGTGATTCAATATTTCAACACTCACCACAGTGAGCCAAACCTACGCGAGCAGGCGCCTAAAACGCTTTTAGATTATCATAATCAAGCAAATTTCTACCCTTGGTTAAGATCTCAATTCCACGTCCACCGCGGGTACGTTATTATCATAAGTGAGAGGAAATGCAACCTCCGTATCGGCGTTAAAACATCGCACATTTGAGCAAGCGCCGCGAAAAATGGCACCGCGAGCAGAGACGGACGAGGAGTTCTGCTATCGCCGTCTGCTCTTGTCGTCTGCTTCTGCACGGACGCTGAACCGAGTCCGGAGCCGGTGCAAGATTTTGAGGAACTGGGTCTGAACCCGTTCAGAACTGGGATGAATCGAACGCACCAGTGCAGCGGTCGTGCAACTTACGGTTGAATCGAATGCACCAGTTCCTGCACTGCCGAACTATAGTTCAGCCAGTTCAGGCAAATTGAACAGACCTAAATTGACTGATCCGATTTGGGCGAGGAGTGGGTGGACGTAGTTTAATATCGTTGGCACAGCATCACACCTCAGCTTACAAGCCTTCTGTCCGCTGAGAGCTCAGCTCGTAGCTTTCTTCTGTGAGATGATTGCTGCATAAGCAGGATCCCGATCTGGACGGGAACCCAGTCCCTACGCACGACGACGGACGACGATCCACTTTGCTCGTCATTGCACGTCTCGCGGAAAAGTGTGGAACGTCAAGTCTAGGCTCGCATGTGCTGCCCGGTGGTTGTGGCACCCAACTGCGTAATAAAAATCTCACCCAACCACGAAACAAGTCGAGCACAACAACAAAAACGAAGCACGCTGAAGCGTTCACTCGCAGGCAAACAACGAGACAAAAATGCTCGCTTTGTGTTTTGTGACGTCAGAGCTTCAATGTTGCCAACGAAAGCAACGTTTACGCTAGAATGCGATATGAGCGCTATAAATTCAGTTACTCACGCAGAGGGGCATATAAAATTCGGATATTGCACGTACGATGCTTCTCGAGGCAATAACAATGATATTCAATTGTTTTCTCGAGTACAAAATTTGACCGGACAATCCCTTTAACGGGGGACACTGGCTAGAGGTCGAACTTTTGAACTACTGAAGTGATCGGAATGAAATTTGCAGGCGAGATTTAGCTTCAGATGTAGGTGTACTGTACAAACTTTAAGCTCTCTAGGACAAATTTACATATTTGCATAAGGTGATGTGTCACTCTTCATTAAGAAATCTATGATATGCAAATGAAGCTATTAAGCACCGTTTTGACTGCTTGAATATAAACTGGGGAATATGGGACCTTGGTCTATCTAGTTTTAATAACTTAAATGTAAAAATTTCAGGAGGCGTTATTACCTCAAAATATGAGATGCATATCTGTTCTATGTCAATTTCTGAAAACTTTGTTTTTTTATCACTGAGGACTTGAACTTAAAACAAATTAAAGTAGATAGCCCGATTCCCCCAGTAAATTTCAGTTCAGAAACATGTTAATTGTGGTATCAGAAGACTTTCACCTTGAAACAAAATATTCCTTCGTATGAAATTTGCAGCAAAAAGTGGAACTGAGAAAAATGCATTCAAACATTGAACTCCTCTACTTTGTTACTGCCTCACAATGTGTTGAAAATGCTTTATATAAACATAAATATTTGGCATATGGTTATCAAATTTGGTGCAAGGGTGTATAATTAGTTTGTAAAACTGAAAACGTCAAAATTGAAAAATTTAGGCCCATATCCTTCCTTAAAGGGGCCCTGCAAGCACTTTTTTACTGTTTTTTAATTCGCACCAAACCTGAGCGCACTGACTGTAGTAACCTAATGTAACTTTTCTTTTTTCGAATTTCGCCTTATTTCAAAAGTTATAGGCAAATTAAAATTACAAAAACAAGCAAAAAATAACCTCCCTCATGACGTCCTTGGTTGCTTGAGCGGCCGTGAACTAGAGGAGGGATGGTGAGCTAAGTGAGCGCTCACAGCTGCCGCACTTCGTGTTGGCGGCGCGAGAGGGCGCCACTAAAGCGTATTCTGGATAGGCTGTATACAGCGGGCAGCCAGAGCGGCTCTCATTGCATTTGCTGCGCGATTAAACACTAATTCAGCGTGACACTTCATTGGCCACAAAGGACAGCAAACACGGGGTGAAGATAAGTTCAGAATGGGAGTCACTTTGCGCTGCCGTACCGCGAAATGGCCAAAACGCGAGAAAAAGCTACTCGCTGAAGGCCTTCGGAACGCTCGGAGCCAGTCGGATCCTCCAGTCCGTAAACGACCGCAGCGCCGCCGCGTACATCCGGGACCTTTCCGTGTCTGCGCCTGATCCCACTACTCTTTTCTAGTATGCGCCACCTTTTCCACCGCTTGGTGGCGGGTATGTCGACGGGTCATTTCTTGCTTCCGTACTTTATAAACTGCATTTGTTTCTTTTCTGATCTAAAATAGTGAACAAAAACTAATTTTATAAATAAATGAAACGGTTCGCGCCACTTATATTTTGTATTTCGACTAAAAAGAAGCTTTTAGCGGCCCTGACCAGTAGTAAGCCCAGGACCAAATACGTCACATTTCGCGCGCTTTCGGTACCGCGGGTCGCCCCCGTCGGTGGAGGAGGTTTCCGCGTCGTCCGGTTAAAATATGATGCACTGATATTTAGTTACTCTCTCTGTGCCCGCTGGCTTGCCCGAACCCCAAGAGACGTGGAAACCGCAAAAAAGGTAGACGCTTAAATATGATTGCAGGGCCCCTTTAACAACCTGCGTTCATAATGCCTGCTTTTTTTGTCAAATTCGGAAGCTGATTTGTAAATGCCCTCGATTAGGATAGCTGCAACAAATTTGTTTACATGCCACAGTTCATGCATAAGAGGTAACTGAGCTTAGGTGTGGACGAGTGGAAGGTTAGAAAGAACCTTTAATTCTGCAGGAGTTTTCTTTAAGCATGGCACACGATAGTGAAAGGCCTGGAGAAACTATTTGATATTCAACTCGAAAATATTCGGCCAAAACCGCTGTTTGCTTCAACTTCGCTCAGAACTCAATGCGCACTATTTGCACATGCCTAGAAATGATATAAAGGCCTCTTGGGATGTGTGCCAGAGCATGCCTTCCCTTCCACAGGCAGGGCACAAGATACAGCAGGTGGCAGAGAGCGGCACTCCGCTGCTGATTGCCTTCAGCGAGAACGACCGGGCCATCAACCCGGAGGTCATCTTTAACATGGTGGACCTGATTGGCACCCGCAACGAGGACCTCTGGCTCTACGACGCTGACGGCAAGCTGGCCAGAGAAGGTGAGCCGACTGCATATGCGGTTCTCGGTACGAAAGGCTCCCCGTCAACCCTAGCCTCCCCGGTACAGAGAGCCGACATCACTTACTTTATGCTAGGGGCACCAGATGCGTGCACACTACTGAAGCTCCCGAACCTTGCCTGGGAACCATGCCACAGTGCTGAAATCGACGGCTAAAGTACGGCGGCAGTCTCGAATCGTGTCGACCTGGAGTGGGCAAACTGGCAGATTGCAGTCTAGCTGAAGTCCTAGCAAAAACCAACATGCCTTTCGACCAGCTGTCAATTTGCCAGTTGTCCTGTGGTACTGTGTGTAAATGTTGTCAGCCAATCGGAAGCCTCGATTCGCTTGTTTCTCAAGCTCGAGTGGACGCCATGGTATGTGGCCACTCTGGGGACATTCATGGACTCTAATCTAGGCATTTGGTGTGAAGAATGCTAGTGGCTCTCCGTTTTTATACTATGGTTAAGTTTTCACATCGGTACAGCCAAATAGTTTTGTGTATTTCTCAAGCTGGAGTAAAGCCCGAGTAATCATGCAGTAACTGCTTTTTCTTTGCCAATAGGACAGAGGCGCATAAAAAATTAATTAATCCCACATTTATATCTTTAAAGTTTTGCATTTCATTACGAATTATCAAAGTAAAATTGTCGGCTTGTTGTCACTTCATCTTTGCTTTTGGGTATCTGAAAGTCGGGCAGCTGCCTCACCAACTGCTAAGGCTTTTGAGTTTTTTTTTTTTAGCTGTCGTTGCAACGTAATAAAAAAACTCGGCTTAGATTTATTCCTCGATGTTCTTAGCCTACGCTATATATATGTTAGTTTTTGTCCACATTTAATGGTACTTGCACAAACATAAATAGAGAAATACAAGTAGCGTCCACCTTCTCAACTCGCGGCCCGAACGAGTGACTGCTTAATCTGGTGCCGAATGTATGCCGCCAACATTTGTCATAGCCGCGTGTTGCAATCTGGCAAGAAACATGGCGCATGCCGAGTTTCACACGTTGTTTGGGTTGTGCTGTTCCCCTCATTGCTGCGATGAGCGGGAGCCACTGCCCGAAGGGTCATCGAGGCATTAATTTTCGTGAGCCCGAATCGAGTGCTCGCACAATGCTCGTGTCCAATGTATTGCCCACATTTAAATGTTGTCACCACTGGCTAATGCCTGTAATGACAGCAGCACTGCGATGTGCGTGGCCGTGCTGTGGACTTTTGCAGGCAAGAGACTCAAAGGGCAACTCCACCCAATTCAAAAAATTTTGAGGTTACGAGTTATTGTACAATAAAAAGCACTAAGAAAAGGCACTAAAGTCAATTGCTTCGCGAAAAATGAAACATATCTTGTGAAATCTTACTTCAAGTATGAGCAGAAACCGAAACTAATGCTCTTTCGAGCAACATTGGCTTCGGGCCGCCAAAAGCATGGCTACTACGTAATACGAGCGGTCACATGATCCTCTACATAACGACTGGCAGGATTGGAGTTGCCCACCGTTTAGGGCGGGCGTATGCAAGTCACAAGTGTCGTCTGCACCGCAGTCTTCCCTCTTCACTTTGTTTTGGTGTCTACGATATCTGACGACGTCTTCACAACTGGCATCGGTCTCCTCACATTGTGAACAAAACTCCAAGAGACAATAATCGGAGCCGGCGAGGCGACGATGGCGGTTGGGACACAAGAGATGGCGGAACGGCTGAACTGGCCGGGCGGCTCCCAGGGATGGAACTGCTGCACCGATTGCGCCACTTTGCGCCTAATGACTTTTCATGCGCCGCACTGATACAAAAGTATAAATAGAAACGAAATTGCACCAACGTGCGTCCAAACTGAAGTTATAAAAAAGCCTCGTCGAAATTAGCCGTCTTGCAGTTTCTGGTGGCAACATTGACACCGGAACTTCCGGCCCAAATGTGACGTTAGTGAATTCGAATCTGAAGATCTGCATCTGAAGGTTGATGCCGCTGCCCTTGCTGCCAACGTTGGCTGCTGTTGCTGCATGCTCACCGTGCTTTTCTGAAGTCCTGGAGTCACTTCAGGTGAAGATCTAAATAGTAGAGCAGACATGTGACTATTGCAATCTCGCAGCTCGCGTTAGCCCACCCCACGGCCCCGCGCAGAAAACTTAAGAATAGAGGCGAGTGAGCAGTGAAGTGTATGACGGAGCAAGATACGAGCTGCCCGATAGTGATTGCACTTTAAAGATGGTATGCGCAATGTCATGAGCTACCTCAAGTGATTGGGCAGTGATGTCACAAAAGTGCTTTTGAAAACTCACTTTCCGCAAGCTGTGATGTCTCAAAAAGATTGCACACAAAGGTTAGAGGTCGAAAAGCAAGATGACGAGAGGCAGAAGAGGTAAAGCAGTGATGCGAGGGAGGCGAGTACGAAGAGAGTTCGTCTTCAGGGAGAAGACCGACAACTTGAACAGCGCATCATCTGTTTGCAAACTATGCGCTTGAGCTTGCACAGTAATTGATTGAATCTGTTTCCAAAAAAAGAAAAAGAGATGAAGAAGATTGAGTCTGGAGAAGGTGCTGTAGCGGAGGCTAATGCGAAATTGGCTCAGAATCTTGAAGAAGTGAAGTGTATCTGTCAGCAATGGACTGAAGTCCCAATAGATTTAAATGTACAAGGACAATTCTTATCTTATTCTAGTCACTGAAAAATGAAAGACCATTTTCATACTTGCATTTTTATTTTTTGGTACACCTCACTAGGTCAATGCTGAGCGATGAAAGCTATTTGTACCTGTTTATATTGGCCTCTTTCCATTTCGGTTTTATCATGTGTCACGCTGTCATGTGCAATTTTGCTTTGTATGTTTTGTGTAATTTGCACATAATTTGGTGAAAAATATGCGCAACTAAAACATTTATTGAAACTTCCGTTAAGTTCACATGCAGTTATCTGCATGCCATATTTTCTTTAGTTTTGAAAACCAGGTGACATTTAACCTCTATTTCAAGATTCTTAAAACTCGTATGCTGCTCCCAACTTGCTCCAAGACCTCCTATTTGCTGCTCCCAGCCTGCTCCAAACTGCAGTTTTTTCTGCTCCCAAGATTGCTCCAAATCTGCTTTGCCCAGTTCCATCCCTGGGCTCTCAAGGCTAAGAAGCGTGCTGCGTAGGCGTTTTACACCAATCGCACGGGCACCGCTGAGCCAATGCAATTATCCAACACCCAGAGGAGGCGCTGCTGACATCACCTGTTGCGCTTACCCAGAGAAATGAATGTACACACAATAATCAATGCAAAACCCTCCCGCAATCGAACCTGTGCAAGAATGTGCACAGCACTACGATATAAAAACATGCTATTGCAGACCTCGAAATCCCTACCTGTCACTGAGCAGCATTAAAAAATAGATTGGAACATGACAATATTAATTTGCAACACGAGAATGACGGTAGAGGCAAGGTCTAAGAGTCTTTTGGTCAATCTTAGTGGTGTTGCTTGCATAACAGTCTTCAATCTTCTTCTTTGCACTCATGATAGTAGTGTAGGTTACGTTTTTGTGTGGGCCTGCCGAGTGGTGTGCTGCGCCTGTAGCAGCTTTGCTGTGCTGCAGCTCGTAGACGGCGTCAGCTCCAAGTGGAGAAGCTGACGGCCAGTCTGAGGTGAAGAGATTGACGCTTTAGGAGGCCGCATTTGCCTGTTGTCGCGTCATTGTCTCTTGTCTCGTCGGAACCGTGTTGACTTCGAAAGTCACGAGTGGGCTTGGCTCAGCGATGAAGGCTGGCGCGATCTGAGAAGGAGTGCCTCGGTTGCATTCTGAGCATTATGAGTCATACCCGTTGGGAAAGTTCGGCTGAAAGGACACTTGCTGATTGTGTCCGTGCATGGCTGACGGGGCCACAAAGCCTTTGAGTGGCATCGGGTTTTCGGCATTCACTTGGGGGTACCATTTACAAACGCAGAAGGTTCCTTGGGTCTGGATAATGACGTGTTTATTTCACGACAACACCACACGTTAGTCCAAGAGCCAACAGAGTCAAAGATAACGGCGCTGTCTCTTTTGACAGGACCGCCAGCCGGAGTTTGCGCTGCTGCTATTGACAATATCACGGAGGGGGAGGGTCGTATAAAGAAAGGAAGGCTCCGTCGAGCAGAGCCTCCCCAATGAGAGTCCCTCTCGTCGGATCTCAGCCATCTTTATAGCCTGCGGGAATGGACGCGCCCGATGTGGTCGGATGTAGGTTGGCTCCCCAGAGGGGCGGACGCGTTCAAGTCAAGATCCCGAGGGGTGTGCCTTCGGCAAATCAGTTGAGAAGGGCGAGGGAGAGCCATCCGCAAGGGAATACAACCTCTCCTCGCATCCAGGACGCGCCCTGACAAGGTGACGCCCCGCGGCCTGTTTGAGCTAGGCCTAGATAGGGATGCGGGGAACACGTGGTTCTCACAGTAGATATGCTTGGTGCAAGCTCAAAGTCCACAGCGATGTCTTTTTTCTTCCGATCGCTGTTCTGACGCCCTCGAAACCTTCACTTCTGTTTCCCGAGAGACGGCTTTCCGCTTTGTTGCCATTTGCAGCCCTGCAACGCGTGGCGTGGTTGGCTTGTTGGCTTTAGTCTGCACTGGTTCTTGATGTCGCACACAGGGGTCAGCAGCGGTGCCCCTGCCATTATCCACTCGGTTCATAGGTGGCGCTACCTCCCGAAACGCGCATTTTGTAGCGTGAGCTACACTGGCCGAGGTTGAGCAGTTTCGTGTGGCTCCCAAAGAGCCGTGCTGCGCATGTGCGAAAAGCAGTGACATCACACAATGCACAGCTGGTGCGCCGGAGCCGCCGCCGCCGCGCTCCGCCGCCGCCGCGCGTGCCTCGCCGGTCTGCGCATTCCAGAGGAGTGACGTCATAGCCGCGGCAGAGGCACTGGCGCCACCGCATGTCCAGCTGTGCGCCTCTGTTGCGCAGTAGCCAAGTCTGACGCTGCACCGGAGCCGCTTGACAGCGCCTCATTTTGTGCGCATAAGCTCACGCTACGTATATCCTGGCATA